TTTCTAGCCTCGCGGTATCTATCATAGGTGCTAGTTGATGGAGACGCACGGTAGGTCCTCCAGCACCTAGAATGCTTCTGGAGCAGGTGCTTGCCAGTGGTATCTATCCACGGCGGCCGCGCCCGTGTCTCCTTTCTCCTCGCAAGCGGGATGTAAGGAGTAGACACTTCCGTGAGATTAGATTTAAATTTATCCCAGGCCGCCTGAACCGTCCTGCAGGCGAAAAAGCCCGTGGCTCAACGTCCATGCCTGCCTTCACGACCTGTACCCCTGGAAAACAAGATGTGTTTGGAGTAGGCGCCGCAGTTTGAGTAGCACGCGATGTGGACATCTGGGGTTTTTTATCCCCTGCCTGCACAATCTTAGGTGAAACTGAGGGAGTCGCATCACCAGGTGGCGTTTCCCGCTCAGGTGGTTGCGTCCTGAGCGTCTTCTCACTTCCCGGTTTGGGTGCGGAGGGTTTGAGCACTTTTCTTGCCTTCTTTTCTGGCCCAGGAGCCCGTGAATCGCCCTCCATTTGTGGAGGGTCAACACTGCCGTCCGAGGCATATGAGTCATCTATCTCAATGTGTACTGGAGCGTCCGGTAAGATGAACGACCCAACGAGGGTTGGACTGTCAGCAGGGGGACAGTTTTCTACAGAGTCCTCCTTTGCAATACTCAGGTGATTCATAATCAAGTCCACTTTAGAGTTGAGCGAGGCAAGCCCGACTAACGCCTTCTCAACCACTGTGAACCTGGATGTCAGTGCCTTAAATTCAGCACAGATGATAGCCGGGCACTTCGCTTTCTGAGTGCAGCAATCAGCACATCTAAACAGGTTTTCACTGGATGATAGCATAGTGCACCGGTTCGCTCGGAGGCCGGTTCAACCTTTGTGATACCAGCGGAAGCAAACATCACACTGCATACCACCAGATGAATCCGTAACTGGTCTCGAGCAGGCAGAATTGCCGCAAACTGCAGTGGACTCATCAATCGAGGACCCAAAGATTCCATCCGCCTCGGTTTTTAGCGAGACGACTATGTTCAAAGTGGAAAACTGAGCAGAATTGGAAAACACGTATACAACCGTAAAACGACCACAAAAAGGCAAAACAGGGTGTGAAACGGGATTAAAAAGGGGAACAAACGCAAAAATTACCAGTAAGCGTCAAGGAGACCCTATGTAGCACTTTAATCACGGTTTTCGCGGGTTTCACGGGTTTGCGCAGAACGAGTAAGCGTAGCTTTTCGGTGGTTCTGCCTCGGGATCTTACGGCAAGGTCCTGATCTCGTCGGTAGGTACCAGATGTTGTGGTTCTCGACGCAGTAGTGGTGTTCAGCACAAGAATTCAGCGAGTTGACTGTGGGAACGTGGATACCTGGAACAAGAGAGTGGTGTAGGTAAATTCGGCAAAGTTGGATAGAAGCAAAATGATGGAAGCGCCGCGTGTTAGCTTGGCAAATGGCCAGATCTTAGCAACGTTGAAGACCAGCGAGGTAAGAGCCAAGCGTCTAGGCGCTGTTTGAAGGCCTCCGTATTGGGCGCTGAGACAACAGCTTCGGGGAGGGCGTTCCAAGCGAAGGCAGTACGCACACTGAAACTGTTTCTTCGGCACAGAAGGCGACTGCTACGAGTCATCAGTTTGAGTGAGTGCCCTCGAAGATGATCTGTACGGGCGCGGACCAGCAATCCTGCGTTTGGGTGTCTGTTATTAGTCAGGACGGAATAAGCTAAGGTCGCCACGAAGCCTGCGATATTTCAACGGGAAGAGGTTAAGGGCCGCCAGACGCTCCTCATACGAGAAGTGGGATAGTCCGTCCACTCTCTTAGTGGCTCTGCGCTGTACAGTTTCCAGCATGGCCTCGTCCTTCTTCAGGTACGGCGGCTGGACAAGTATGTTGTACTCCAGCAGCGGACGTACTAAAGTGCTATAGAGACGGACAAATGTCTCTCTAGGGAAAGACCCTAGTGCACGTCCAAGGAGGGCCAGGCGAACGCTAGCCTTTCGCGCCAGTGTAGCTACATTGGCGCTCGGGCTCAGGTCGGCGGATATTATGGTCCCCAGGTCGCGTTCCTGGGATGTGGCTTTAAGATGCACACCGCCGATATTGTACGGATTAGCCACACCTTGCCCAATGTGCATGACTTTGCACTTGTCGATGTTAAACGGGAGCGAATTTTTCAAGGCCCAAGAATAAGCAGCATCGATGTCTGTCTGGAGAAGTGCCTGATCACTTGGCCTGCGGATAGGTCGCCATATCTTAGCGTCGTCCGCATAAAGCAGTATGTGGCTGCTGATACAGGATGGGAGGTCGTTGATGAACAAATTGAACAGCAGGGGCCCGAGGATGGATCCCTGGGGCACCCCGGTCGTTGCAGCCAGAGCGCTGGAGAGTGCGCCGTTTACACGAACTCGGTAGGTGCGGCCAGACAGGTAGGTACTTAGCCAGCAGATTGTTTGCTGGTCGATCCCCAAACTCGGCAGTTTACTCAACAGCAGTGCGTGATTGACCCGGTCGAATGCTTTTGAGAAATCCACGTAAACCACGTCAGTTGGAGTATGATTGTCTGCCTCTGCAGTCCAGGAATCAAGGGCTGCGAGAAGATTCGTGGTGCACGAGTGAGCCCTGCGGAACCCGTGCTGTTCCGGGGCTATTAAGGACAGACTTTCTAAATGGCAGCGCAAGAAATCGTCTACGATACTCTCCATTACTTTGGAGGCAGTGGAAAGCAGTGCTATCGGGCGGTAATTAGAGGGGTTTGTCCTGTCACCACCCTTGTATATCGGCGTTATGACCCCTTGCTTCCAAGCGTTCGGGTATTCGGCACTGGTGTAGGAGCGGCTGTACAGTAAGGCAAGCGGCTCGGCCAGTACAGTGGCGCACTCACGTAGAAAAATGGGAGGGATCCCATCCAAACCCGGCGATTTGTCTGTCCTTAATTTTTTTAATTTCTCCAGGACTTTCTCTGATGTAAACTGCACGGGATGTCTGGCAGTGATGGGGGTAAAGTTAGCGCCTTCCATTGTACTGCATGCGAAGGTGCCGAAAACGGACTCGTACTGAGTCTTCAGCAATTCCGCAGCTTCTTTGTCCGACGTTGTGGTATTGCCTACGGGTCCGAGCAGGCTGCCAACGGCAGCGCGCGATTTAGTGAGAGACGCTATATGCTTAAAGAAGACCTTGGGGTTATCGGTGAAGCTTTTAGCGAGAGAGAGTTGGTACGCTTTTCTGTCCTGGCGAACAGCTGCTATACAGGAATTTCGCACTCTACAGTATTGTGCTCGCGAATCAGAGTCGCCAAAAAGTAAGAATCTGTCCCAGAGGGCTTTCTTCTCCCTGATCAGCCTAAGCGTAGCAGGCTGAAGTTGCCTGTGGCGTTTCAGCGCATAAGCGCGCACTGTGGGGACGTGTGCCCTAATTGCGTCGTGGATGTGAGCGGCGATGTAGTTCCAATGGTCGTCGACTGTGGGGGTTTGTGCTGCCAGGGACCAGTCGACTCGTGAGAGGAAATCTTTGATGGCGTCATAGTCCGCTCGACGAAAGTTAAGCCTGATGGGCAGTACTTTAGCGTTGAGCGTGACGTTCGCCACCACACGAAAACTGATAACTACATGATCGCTTGCACCAACTGGGGCGCTCAAATTAACGTTGTCAATTAGATGTGGCTCGTTGGTGAGCAGCAAGTCGAGTTTCGACGGGTTTTGACCGTCTCGCCACCGAGTGTACTGCTGTACGTGTTCGGTTAGGCCATGTTCTAGAACACTGGCAAGAAACTCAAGGCTGTGCTGACTGCGAGCTTGGCCAGAGGTAAAGTCTATCTCCGGGAAATTAAAGTCACCTGCGACGAGTAGGGGGGCACCCAAATCTGAAGTAGCTGCTCGGAGGGCGGCGTTCCAGCACCGCAGCCATTCTGGCGCAGCTGAGGGAGGGCGATAAACCACTCCAAGGGTAAGACTGGTGGAACCAGAGCCGCGGACGCGAATCCAGAGGGATTCGGGAAGAGATAGTAGTTCCGGAGATTTGAGAGGGATGTATGTGAGGCGGTCTGATACATACACAGCTACGCCGCCGCCTTTGCCGCTTTCACGATCGTTTCGAAAGAGCACGTATCCCGGGATAGCTACCTCGGCGTCCACAACGTCTGGGCAGAACCAGGTTTCGGTTATACATATAACTTTAGCTTGCGTGTCCAGCGCAAGGGAAGAGAGTTCGGACACCTTGTTCCGTAGCGATAAAGCGTTGGTGTACAAGCAGTTCCACGTGCTAACATGAACTGCTGGCGGGCAGTGGATTGAAGGCATAGATGGTAGGGTAGTTCCAGTGTGGTTTACGCCGACCCCACAGGGGCCGGCGCCTATTCGTTTTTTGTTATATCCACAAGTCGCGTAATAGGTAGTGATGGCGTGGCTCGACTGAATGGCGTGGAATTACGTCCCTGAATTTGCCTGCGCTCCTCCCGCGGTTTGTCTGGATGCATCCTGACTTCGTACGGAAAGTTTCCACGTAGCTCGTACCACCGTTGTAGTACAGTCTGGCGCATCTCAGGAGTGAAAAGAATGACCCTGAGCAGTTTAGGCGCCTGTATCTGCGAGAGGTGAGCTGGCCTCGGCAGCCGGTGAACAGACCACGCCCCACAGTTGTCCACTGATAGGTTAAGCTGCGACCGAATATAGCACCATTGCTGAACATCGTGACGGGATGATTCAACCGGGTCGGCAGTGTGGAGTTCTGGGACTCCGTGTATAATTATACTGCAAGCTCTATCGTGGTTGGCGCACGTGCTGTTGATACGCGCCTCTCTTCTTACCTCCCTCACAACCCAGGGAAAGTCTGGCTGGGCGCGAATATTTGTGTTCAGTTTATTAATCCAAGGTACCTTGGATCAGAGAAAATTTGACAGTAGTCAAATTTCGCTTCGAGTGTTTATTCAAACACCGTTTTCCACAATATTTCAGCTAGAAAACGCGACCAGCATGGCACGCCAAAAAACCGAGTTACCGCGTAGAACTCACAGTACACAGCTCATATAATTCCCGCTTCTCGCGCTTTCTCAGGGTACATAAATTTCTAGCCTCTGTAATGCGCGTAATCTTGTGCCGTCTGAGTGAACTTTAACCGGCCCCAAATTTTCCGGTTTTTCATCATAAACCATTCAGTATGGTACGCTTTGCTGATAATTGGCCATGTCGCTTAACAAGGTTAGAAGAGATATAACGCAGAATTTAATGAGAATTTAGTATATGTGTTTATATAAACGGCTGTGAATTTTAACTCAGCTGTTGTTGTTCAAGTGGATAACGAAGTGCAGATATGAACTGTGGCGCGTCATTGGAAGCTATCATTATGTTGAACGATCTTCTTGTGTTTAAGCTTTTGGTAAGATTATATTCGCGATACTTTGCGGACATGAAGCATTATGGGAAGAAATTTCAGCAGGATACTGCGGCCGTTTCATAAGCGGACATTGCTTACTCGAAATCGTTGCAAAGGATGACGGGGGAGGATTTGCCGGAAGGGTATCCATATCAGTACGTGCACTGACAGTTTGTGAATAGTTAGTGGAGTCTTAATTCCTTAAAATGACTAAATAGTAATAGCGTGCTGGACTGCAAAGCTCCATTGGCCGTCAAGAGTTGGTGTAGCTCTTTAAGTGGGTTTTCATATCCACGTATTGAGGACCAGCGTTTTTCCGTTTCGAGATAAGTTTGTTGAGGCTTCCACAGTTCGCGTTAATCCCTTTTCAGCAAATGGTTCGGCGGCAGTGTTCCAGAATGTGGTGGGACCTCGCCTGGCAAGCGTTCTTCCTATAAAACCCACAGACATCCGTTTAACAACAGTGTGACCTGGCCGATGCGGCGGGCCACTAAAGAAAGTTACTGCCTCTTCCATTTTCAAAGGATCATCTACACCTCACGAACGGCATTCAATTCGAAGCGTTCCTATCATTCCACATTGCTGATCACCCATGCCTGTATTACCATGTGCGCACAATTGGGGCAACTGAGTGGCCAATTAATGTGCGATCTATTTAAAGTGCACTTTCGGGGAATTGGATTCTGTTCCAAGGAGAAAAGGCACAACTACACCAACGCAAAGTTTTCACAAAAGAACAAGGAGCTCAATATCGCCCGAAGGAACCAGAAACATGTCAAGGTGGGCGCCTGCGACCCAGTAGCTGTATATCAAACAACGCCAAAGCATTTGTAATTGCTGACGATGAACATACACTTATATTTTACCTACTTCCGTGCAAGAGCATCGGATTTATGTAAGCATTGATCTGAAACCTTTAGGGTGCAGCCTCTAGCAGGTCTAGAAATGTACCTATTTATTTATTCATGTATTTATCATGCTCTCGTTGGTGTGCTTCGCAATGACGAGAATAAGTTATTAAGTTGTTTATGAGGAAGACTGTTCTGCACACCCAGGAGCATGAGGGCAACATAGCAAAGCGCGTTTACAAAAATGATCGAATAAGAGGACTGTTACAGAGAAACATAGATAAACCGATGACGACCGCAGCTGTCCGAATGTGAGAGGCAGTTTGTGTGAAACCAGGACAAATTAGATTGACTAAAAGCGAGCACAACCAGTACTTAAAGCAGTGTTCCAATAAAAATTAAATGCAGAAAACAGGCGAGGAACGGATGAATGCAGATGGCTGGGCGAAGCGTAGTCAGTGAGAGTATTTCCGCCGAAAGCCTTCAGAATCTAGAGAAAAGGGTCCCTGGTAGCACGTTTCCAGATCGTGTCCAGATTAGCCTCCTAAACTTCCTATGAGAGCATTAGGCTAAACTGGGCAGGATCTTGTACCTTGAGACAGATAAAAACAGATATTGTCCAGTTTTCGGCGGTCTAAGGAAAATTATCCCGGCGTTGACTAATTGAAATTCACCGCTCTGCGTGGCAACCCGATAGCTCCAGCAACCTTGATGGCCTACCATTGGTATCCGAATACGGACATCACACTACTACGCACTTGGTACCAAACGAATAGCCTGACGGTTCGGACCTAAGTTTCAGGCAGTATGTGTTGCCTTAGTTGCTGTACGTGGGAACGCATCTAGGCTGCGCTTCATGTTGTTGGTCAGAGCGCGAAATGGAGCTTACCGCGCACCTGATAACATTACAAGTTTAAGAAAATGACAGCCGAAGTATAAGAATGCTTTATTACATGAAGGTGTGTGGTACAAAAACGTGTTAGCAGCAAAAAGCGGCTTTGTCAAAATGGTTTCGCAGTTTCAGCGATTGACAAAATAGGAGGCTAAAAATGTTCATACGGAAGCAGTGGACGCCCATCGTTCGCATTACATCCTTTACTTTGCTCAACTGACGGTCTCTTGTATCATGCAGAATGCAACCACGTTTTGCTGTGGCATGTTACGTCGACATCAGCGGCTTCATCGTCCATGCGTTACCGAATGATGCTTCTGTAGTTTTATGGATTACTGTAAGTCAACCTACCGGCAGTTTTGGTCCCCTGGCACGTCCCAGGGGACTAAAAGCGCCGTGTATTAGACATCGTTAGCCCAGTTACGGTTACACAGATAGGCAAATGTGAACATGAGGTAAAGTGCGGTTGCATACGAAGAGAGGTAAGGTAAGCATACTATTGTAATTAATGGCCAAGGAACGCTTAGCAATGACCCGAGTGCCGCCAATAAGCAAGCGCGAGGTCGGAGCGATGGAGGCCATACGCAGGAGGATAACTTAGTTTAGCGCAATGAGAGTAAGCCGTAATATGGAGGAGGAAATAGAAACGGAACGCACTAACAGAGAAGGCCGTGGAAAATAGGAAAATAAAAGCAACAGTGCTCTGGACCAAGGGGAGGGAGCGAAGTCGGCGGCAAACCATGATCGGAGATGGCGCGGACTTCTGGGCGTAGTAGGAGGGCAGAAGACCGTTCAGATAAGGATACCTCAGTCGGCGCACTGAGATTGGGTCGTCGTTGTGGTGAGAACAACTGTGGGGAGGGTCAGCGGAAAGAAACAGGTTTATTATCAAAGGGGCAGCCGTGGCAGAAACAGGATCTCGTTGCTCTCGAGACTCCTCAACGACGGGCAACCAAGAACGTCAGGGGCTTCTATCATCTGCCCTATCAGCTTAGACTGAAAGCTCTAAGAATATACAGTAGTCGATATCGGTGGGATCACATAATGGTTTACCAGATTCTGAAGAACCCAAACCACATTTGCCGTCCGCTGCTGAAATCGAACCACCACACTAAACTAGGAGGTCACCCTCTGAAACTGACAATTCATTATAACCGGCTTGAATGCCGTAGAAATTTCTTTTCTCTCCGCGTGTGTGAGCCTTGGAACGCCCTCCCTAATTATGTCGTCTCTGCTTCTTATCTGGCGATATTTAAAAAACGTGTTGACGATGCGTTGTCCCACTTACATTTCACTTTATGACTTGTTAACCAGGGGCTACGAAACGCAATCAAACTGTGTCTTGCCAAACGCCTAACCAATGGATTTATGGATTTATACGTTTCATACGCGAACATCTCCGCTATTCCACATAAGTCTATGGTGAGTCCACCACAACGCTTTTCACTTTATTATGCAATTGATTTTCGCAATAATTTCCATCCCGCCGGACTTGTTAAGCGATGTTTTTTTACCCGTAATAAACCATTGTCCATTGTCCATTGTGATACAGGAGTGATTAGGTCCGGCAAGGCTGTCGAAGTGCGTGAGACCAATAAGACAACACTGGCATAATCGGTGCACAGCGATTGAGTCATGCAGACAAGGTGGAAAGAAAATAGATAGGAACAGCAGAATAGGGTAGGCAAGAGAGGCAAGAAGCTGTTTTGACGCGTAGCGTACCGGAGACCAAGGTCGTTCAATATTTTGTAACATTGGATTTTCCGTTTGTTTTAACCTTCGAAACGTCCACTTGTTTTACTGACTGCACGTCCGCTGACACAAACCGTTTTGGTGAGTACCTCGCTGCATGTTTCTCGCTCTGACTGATTCGCTTCCTCTTCTTGTAGCCTGCGCAATATACGTTGGATTCAGTCGCCTCCGACTTCTATACTGTCGTATTTGACACGTATTACGTGTCATTGCTTACCGACTAGTATCCCAGGCTCCGCCCAACAATTTGGTGACCTCCTGTCAGAAACACGCTGACCGCCATTTCGCATTTTCAATCTAGTGAGCTCGTTCGATTGCTTTTGTGATTCAGTACTTGTGTTCATATTGTTTTCCAACCTGTCATGATCAATTCTGTTGCCTTTGTCCCCTCCACTGTTTGGGAGAGTGAGCCTTTATTATGGTTTTCACACCTAGAATCCGTATTTTATATTCGTAAGATTTCTTTCGATTTCGCCATGTTTAATCAGCTAATATCTTGCCTTCTTCAGAGTATATACTCGCAAGTGAGCGACATCGTACTTTGCCGCCAGCTAATAATGAAATACGAGACACTTAAACAGGCTACTATTCAGCGAAGCACGCTTTCTGACAAGGTCCGTCTGCAGCAACTCTTTACTGATCTGCAGCTAGGAGATAGGATGCCCTCAGCCTTGTTGTGAGAAATGCAACAGCTCAACGGCACGTCCAACCTGGACGTAGGGATTCTCCGCGAGTTGTGGATGCAATGCCTTCCTGAAAGCACACAGGCTATCGTTGCAGTAGCAAGTGACTTGCCCATCACAGCAACTGCAGATCTAGCAGACCGCGTCATGGAACGGCACCAGCCAGAGACTGAAACCAAAGCACCTAAGCAGCTTTGCGCCGGCGCAATCACAACCACAGGCGCGACTAGCCCGCCCTCGGCAGTAGACGCATTATCGTTGCAGATAGCGTCGCTTTAGCGCCAGATCGAGGAATTCACTTCAAACCGTAAGCACCGCAACCGGTCTGGATCATCGCCACGTCGCACAAAACCTGATGCCACAAGTTACTGCTTTTACCACTCGCGTTTCGGTAATAAAGCCCTGAAGTGCGTACAGCCGTGTAGCTCCTCCGCTATAGATGATCCGCCACGCCGGGCTGTAATGAGCACGAACGTCGGCAAAGCCCAAAGTCGTCTCATCT